CTTTAATAGAAAGAGAACATATATGTAAATATAGAAGATTAGTATAATGTATTGACATTTTTCTCCATTAAGTATTTCAGGTAACTCAACCATTCCTAGATTGATACAAACCAATTTCTCTTACTTAAACCATTTAAAGTTTTTCTCCCTAAACAGTTGCAAACATGGTTTGCTTCTACTTTTATTTTAGTTTAGCTTCCAATTCATTAGGATGTTGTTAGTTATCACATCTTGATATAAAGCTCTGCTAACAAAAGGTGCACCAGGTATGTTTCAAATCAATATAGGAAAATAAGCAAAGCACTGAATCACTACCTAATACTAAGGTGCTTTGATTATCTTACTAAGGGAAAGCTTGTAGCATCTACTACTTTGGTACTCTTATTCTAATGTAAGTTTATATCTCGAGACTATACATATTTAGATTTTCATGAAGAAAAAATAACCTTTTATAAATATTTCTCAGGCAGCTATCTGAAAAACAAATAAGCAAACAGTTATCCAATCTCATTCAGACTAAGGCTAAATGTCAGTCCACCATCATAATGACAAAAACAAATAGTCCAAGTGTCAACTTGCCAGCCTATCTTTGTGGTTGTTGACTAGTCAGCTAACAAGCCTGAAAAAATGGCCAGGCACAAAGCGACCAAATTTGGAAAATGGACACATGGCATCTTATTCATCCGGCTAGTATTTCTTATTCTACCTTTTCTGTCCATTGACCTAACTATACAGAAAGCAGATCATCAATGACAGGTGAAATATAAGACAATAATAAAAAGAACAGTTATTCAAACTGCCAATCAAACAATGACAAAGGTATACCAAATACCAACCAGTACATCCACCTGCAACCCATCAATTCCCATCCATTTAGCCATTCATCTAGCTTGCATCCACAGACAACCAGCAAGAAAACACAATACTGCAATCAAACAATCATATTCACTATTTATGATTATCTGGAAATAATAACATATTCCTGAACCACTTTCCAAAGTCACAATAGATAAGTTAATTGCTCAATAAATGAGACTTGTAATTAACATTCATACTAATAAAAACATTATCACCCTTAATAATAATAATACTGATAACAGTCGAAAAATAATCACATCTGACAATAATGATAATCATAATAATAATCATCATAGCAATAACAATACAAACAAATAAGAATAATGTTGATTAATGATGATAGCAATTATAAAACAATAATAATAATAACAATAACAACAATGACAATAATAACAAATAAACAGCAACAATAATGATAATGATAATAACAATGACAAAACATAATAACAATAGCAATCATAATATTAATAATAATAATAATAAAAATTAATGAAAATAATAACAATATTCCAAATAATAACAATAATACTAATAATAACAATAATACTAATAATAATACTACTAATAATAATGATATTAATAATAATAATAATATAATAATAATGATAATGATAATAATAATAATAATAATAATAATAATGATAATAATAATAATAATATAATATATAATAATAATAATAATAATAATAATATAATAATATAATAATAATAATAATAATAATAATAATAATAATAATAATAATAATAATAATAATAATAATAATAATAATAATAATAATAATAACAATAATAATAATAATAATGATAATAATAACAATAATAACAATAATAACAACAAAAACAACAATTATAATAATAAAATAATAATAATAATAATAATAATAATAATATAAATAATAATAATAATAATAACAATAATTACAATAATAAACAACAACAACAACACAACAACAACAACAACAACACAACAACAACAATATAATAATAATAATAATAATAACAACAATAACAACTGTCACACCAATAACTATAACAGCTAATAACAACAGTAATAATATGGATAATATTGATGATGATGATGATGATGATGATAACCATAACAAAATAATAATAATAATAACAAACAGTAAATAAATAATAATAATAAAATAAAAAAACAACAACAATGATGATAGTAACAATTACAATAAAACAAAAAAAATTACAATAACAATAATAACAACTATAATAATATCAAAACAATATAAAAATAATAATTAAAATGATAATAATAATAATAATAAAATCAATATTATTAATAACAACAATAATAAAAACAACATAAACAATTATAATAATAACAATAATGATAAAATTAACCATCAGCATCATCATTTATATTCGTAATAATAATAATAACAATAATAATAATAAGACGAAGAAGAAGAAGAAGAAAACTAATAATAATTGTAATAATGATGCTAACAATAATAATAATAATAATAATAATAATAATAATAATAATAACAATAATAATAATAATAATGATAATAATAATAATAATAATAATAATAATAATAATAATAATAATAATAATAATAATAATAATAATAATAATAATAATAATAATAATAGCAACAATACCAATAATACCTTGAATAAT